ATGAGCTGGGTGGCTTCCCTGCGGCTCCATCCTCATGAGCTGTGTGGCTTCGTGAGGCTCCATCCTCATGAGCTGGGTGGCTTCCCTGCGGCTCCATCCTCATGAGCTGTGTGGCTTCGTGAGGCTCCATCCTCATGAGCTGGGTGGCTTCCCTGCGGCTCCATCCTCATGAGCTGTGTGGCTTCGTGAGGCTCCATCCTCATGAGCTGGGTGGCTTCCCTGCGGCTCCATCCTCATGAGCTGTGTGGCTTCGTGAGGCTCCATCCTCATGAGCTGGGTGGCTTCCCTGCGGCTCCATCCTCATGAGCTGTGTGGCTTCGTGAGGCTCCATCCTCATGAGCTGGGTGGCTTCCCTGCGGCTCCATCCTCATGAGCTGTGTGGCTTCGTGAGGCTCCATCCTCATGAGCTGTGTGGCTTCCCTGAGGCTCCAGCGCAGCAGCAGTCAGCCCAGAATGTCAGGCGGGGCCTGCTTCCCCGTCAGCGGACCAAGTACGTTTCTGCAGACAGGGGGAGGATGCCCCATTCACGCACGCACACGCANGGGAGGGGAAAACACAGGGAGTTTCTCATCCTGAGCAGTCCCATCCTTCCCCAAAACTGTCCCCACAGTGATGGCCTTAGGGGAGGGGGCTTCTGCAAGGCACTGGAATCCAGACCCCCCCAAAACTGTCCCTACAGTGATGGCCTTAGGGGAGGGGGCTTCTTCAAGGCACTGGAATCCAGACCCCCCCAAACTGTCNACACGATACACGCGCACATGCACACACATGCACACACGCACGCACACGCAAACACGCTGATGAGCACACCTGAGTCAGCCCGGTGGCCACATCTGCTGCCAGGAGGCACCCTGGATGCAGTTACCGAAAGTCTTGTCCCTCCTACAGAGACACCATGTGTTTGAAATTGTGAGGACATATTGAAAATCACTAAGCTGAGGGGCAGTTGGTTCTGGCTGCTGTTTTTGAGAGAAAATGCAGAGAGGACACAGAGGAAGGAAGGGAGGAAGAAAGGAAGGAGGGAGGGAGGGAGGG